GGGCAGTTCAAGATCAAACATTGCAGACAAGGTCATCACAAAACTTTTGAGAAATTAGTGAGAATTCGAGTAACTCTCACAGTTGACTGGAATTACAGGAGATAATGGAATGGTCTCTCTAGAGATATCATGGCATTTCTAAATATCTATTGACCGATGACTGAGAAGCCAAAAGAACCACATGCTAAGCGTGGTCCCACGACCTGAACAGGCGACGTCCACAAGGCGGATTATCAGTCCTCGGGAAGGGTCAGACACAGGAATATGGACTCTAAATACCACAAGTGACTCCGCACTAACTTCCTTGGGGCTCATATTATCGTGTTTTAGCTCTAACCCTCACCCCAGAACTCCTTACCCTAACGCAAACTCAAGCTCTGGCCCACATAACCGTAGCCTTAACCGCCCTAACCGCAATACCAAACCAAACCCATGCACTTACCCTGACCTTCCCTGGAACTTAAGACAAAGTCAACTACAATATGAGGGGGAGGGTGAGGATCCATATTCTAGCGCCTAACACCCGGAAGAAAGTACACGTGGCAGCAGTCGTGATTTTTATCCACTGAACGTAATGTTCCCATGCACTTCTTTAACCCAGGGAAACTCTGAAGTATTACTTCGGGGTTGATGGCTTAAAATTCCCAAATGTTTTCGAACCCTGCTATACCTTGGTCTCCTCGGCCTACCACCCCTCTTTGGGCAGAATCCCAACGAACCCGAAAATAAGGCAGTCCAAGAATAGATATGGGGTAGCCTTTTGAAAACAAAGATCGAAAGTCTGGACATTTAACAGAGAATGGGTTGAAAAGCAGTTAAAAGGCATAAGAAGGCGGTTTCAACGATGAATGCTGCTATTATACAAAAATACACATATGCGTAAGGAAAAGCCCAGTTCGGATGTAATATTTAGGGCGCATAAACAAGCTTTGTGAACAGGCTGATCGAAAATCGACGATGGAGCGATGTTTTTTTAAAATAAAGAGTTCAGTAGTAAGAAATTACACTGATTGCCACTTTACAGGCGTTACTAAAATAGACGTATAGCGTGTACCAAGCAAACAATGGAAAAACTCCTGGGTAGATGGGTTTTAAACAACTGGAACTATTCACGGGAAAAGGTAACTGCAGCCCGCGAAGTGACGGGAGTCAAGAACGGAGTATTTGGCGTGAAAACAGAAGGATTTTGGTATCTTCATTCCCATCCATGGAATTGGGGCTCGAGACCAGAAAAGGGTGATTGGGTTGTCCGGTCTACCGTTTATATCATGTTCTCTTAACTGTCTCCAGCGTTTTATAGACCACTTACCTGAATTAGAAGACAAAACTCGTGCAAGGAGGAAGGGACCGGGGTCATAAAACTCCACAGCTGAATTTTTAAGTCAAAAGAACAGCGAATCTTTCGGAACCTTCAGTCTACAACGCGGCCGCGACTAAACAAAAAGATAATCCTGATCGCCAGAATTGTGTGGTCGTTTAAGGTCTAACTGAGTCGAACGCTCCTACGCCGAAGGAGAGGATTTCCACTGACGTAAATGTGTTCCAACTTCTGCTGAACAATATGCCCTACCTGAACGAAACAGTTACTGTTTGCACTGTCTTTAGGATCGGAAAGGGTGTTGGAGAACGATCGGAACCTGCGCGACCACGGCCTATTAAAGCTGTTTTGAGCAGCAAAGAAGAGGCTAATTTGACTCTGTCCAGATAAACCGACCTCCGAATCTTTCATGGAAAGTTTTTCTTTCATTTGGACTTCTCACCATCGGAACGCCTGAAACGCCCCGAATTAAGGGCAAAACTGAAAAAGAGACTAGCAGATGGAGAGAGTAACCTGGCTATTTTCAGCAGACGAGTAGTACAAAGAAACACGGTGTTGCCATGACACCAGCCACTTCTAGTGATGTCAGTGGCAGCGTAGTAGTGGTGAGCCCCGAACTAACTGAACTAAACACTTCCAAATTTTCCAAAGTAAAAGTCTTGGATCCCAACGGTCAGAGACATTTCGTACCTTCACGAACTGAGAAAACATGTAACCGAGACGTCTCCACATGTTATAGCAATTGTGAAATAACGCTATTGGGACACGAGTAATGAAGGAGAGGCAGAAAAGACCACCAGGGTGGAGGATTTGCCATGTATTTAAAGGACAACTCGAGTGTGTGTGAGAAGTCTGAGGAGATTACTGACGATATGTGCCCTGCCAGCACCATCCCCGCCTAGCCCCATCAAAAATGGCGGGGCTAGAGGGGGCTATGAAGGGGCTAGGTGGGGCTGTGGAGGGGGCTTTGACAGAGCATTCAACACGGCAGCCACGCCTGGCCCCACCAGCGAAATAAAATTCACAGGTACGTGGGAACAGCAGAGAGCCAAGTTTATTAGCGCAAAATGGCCATTTGTTGAGGGGACCAAATAACCTTTGGGCCTGGTTAACCTATAATTAACTCTGCCAGCACCAGCCCCGCGTAACCCCTTCAAATATGACGGGGCTAGAGGGGGCTATGAAGGGGCTTGGCGGGGTTGTGGAAGGGGCTTTGGCGGGGCATTCAACACGATAGCCCCTCCTGGCCCCACCAGCGAAAAAATGCGCAGGGGACGCCAGACTTCCACCCACTTTTGGCACTCCTTAAAAATATCGACCTGTATGCTGAGTCCCCTGAGGCGCACACACATAATACCTGCCGGCAGAAGCTTCAGAGCTCAGAATAGGCATTTCTCTTTCAGGGGATTGATTGCCAACTGCTGTCGACGTTGAGGGAACCTCAGACTCAGACTCTACAGTGGCCTCATTATATGCCTTCATCTGGTGCTTAATGCGCTTGTATATGGTGTTCGATGAGAGCCACAGTAATTACGCTTCATAATTGCTTTGAATATTCAGTAAAAAACGCTAAAAATTTGTATAAGTGGACTATGAACACGAATGCTAACTAGTACATGCATAGACATACAAGTCGATTACTTAAACTGGTTTGTGAGTAAATACCCAAACAATTAGCATAAGATACATAAATTAACTAAGACAGTTAGTAAGAGCATGAAAACAGCATTGGCTGACGCACGATATTATCCGCGACCCGTGGGCGTAAACGGATGTTTTTTTTTCCATGATTTATAAGCCACTTTTGAGAAATTAGCACCTTTTAATGCCAAAGAAGGTACAATGAGTGGTGATTTTGAAACATAACTTTCGATGCAAATACGCCTCAAATGTTTCAATCCAGAGGGGGCTCTGGCCCCACCCAGTCCCTTCCCAGCCCCGCCTATGAAGGGACGATGTGCTGGCAGGGAAATTTATTGGCATACAATTAAGGCTGGGAGTCGCAATAGCTTGAGGCCATGACTATCTACCGACCACTCAGCACAGGTCCTGACGCAGATATTTACCTGCTAGAGAAAATAAATGAGATCGCCATCTGACCTGATGTTGCGCTCATGGATGACTTCGGTGCACCAAGCATTCGATGGAGCGATATGCAAGCGAAGTGTGCCTTCGATCACTGTCTCCTTAAGACGACACTTGAAGCACTCCTCACACGGCATTTCGTATTCCTAACAAGAGCACGTGGAGGATGAGAGTCTAGTTGTTTTGCTTGTTTTCAAAAAAGATCCTGATAGTGTCGATAAAGCACGCTGCCTATCTCCGCTCGGTCGAAGTGGTCATGTAGTATTTTTTTTCGGAGTGCTGTCTATATTATGTACCATATTCAATAAACAAAATGAGGTGTCATATATGAGAAAAAGACTTTGGCAAGTGAAAGATGAGGCGTGATGAAGAAATTGAGGTGCCCTCTTCTCCTCAAATGTCACTGAGGGATGGATCTTTATAGAAGACCGTTTGCTGTATCTCATGGAGAGCCATTCCCCTTACTAAGGCCGAGAAAACGGAACAAACTCGATCGCTAACATGATGTTTAAAAAGGAGGTATAGAAGAAATGATGGCCGCGGAATTTTTGCGAAAACAACAAAAGGACAGTCTCTGAAGAATGAAGAGTCCAGAGGAAAAAGACCATAGGTGTACTTTTCAAAAGACGATGGGATTTGGGAAGAAATTTGCCCCATCTAACCGCTGAAAATCTTAAATTACTCTACAACCGTTTACGATAGAGCATACTTAGCAGTAAGCCGATCCTTTTTATGAGAGATGATGGGTGTCTCGAGAAATCGGGCAGTAAAAACGAAGACGAGCACTTTTCAGAGTTCTTCCAGAATGGTTTAACAAGGGGGTCGGATTTCATTCCACTATGGCACGAGAGTGTGGAAGTGTCACGGGCTGATTCAACAAAAAGAAACGCTCTATTTTTAAAATTTAGTTGTTAACTATTTTCAGATTCACTTCCCCCTCGCTCTGTCGTTTACTCAGTTCCGCTACCAGCGTCCGCATTTTTATCCGTTTGATTGGGGGATAGTCGGGCTAAAAAACATTCCACGATGGTTGTTTCGAAGCCTGAACTCGCGCGATAAAATGAGATCTGCTTGCTGTTCGTTTCCCATTACGACTTTTTGTGGTCTCGGCCGCACTTTCTCTGCATTATTTCTAACTAAAGGCCCCAAACGGAAGATCTTTTGGATTTCGACTTCCTCAACGAGTTCTTGGGTGTCATTCAGTAGGTTTTGGAATGTCAGCAGATCCTGTTTCATCCTTTCTTTCGGGGTGTCAGCAGGAGCTTCAGGAACTCCTTGTACTACCACACAGCGTGATCTAACGTGGAAAAAAACTGGTGATTGCATTCTGTCCACTTTTACTGACAGTTAATGGAGTCTCGGGCTCTGGGACCGCACGGAGACAATGCAGCCTATTGAGACGTGTGCGTCCTACATATGTTGGTGCTCCAGGCGTTGGTTCGCACGCCTCAGTGCGATGGATTCGCTAGTGACCGATCAAAGGGATGCGCGAGGTGACTGTACGGTCTCGATGAGGACAGGCTGAGATCAAGTCCACATCGTTGGAGATGGGGGTAATGGTAGTCAGATGTCAGATGTCTCATTGGTGAGGGGAGTGCTAGAGGTCGTGGTGTTGGCGGAGCTGATCGCTGTGATCAACGCAGGGGTAGGGGCAGGGCGTTTGATGCCGGTGATTGATGGTAGGGGCATTGACAGTCTGGGCACAGGTGGCGAGAGTTGTGGTTGGTGCGGAGTTTACGTCAGGGCGAGAGTAGGAGAAGAGGTAGACGTTGTCGCGTTGATGGCACGTTGCGTCTGAAAGTGTCAAACGAAGCCGATTCGTGTGTTGAATGCGCGTTGGTAGCGTGGGTATGCTGAAAGTGGTTGGTTGTTGGCATTGTGGAATCGAGACTCTTGTGGCTTGCGGGGCTCCCTATTGGTTTTGACGACAACGATTCTGCTTTCTATAGAGATTGTTGTTCCTGTTTTAATTTCAGCTTTACAGACTGGCCGGATTTGTGGGAGATATTCTCTCAACTCAGTGGGTAGAGGCGTTGGACAGGTCACTGAATCGAGCCCAATGTGTTTTATACCTCAGAATTAGGCACGAATGGATGGCAACGGTTACTAAACCAGAAATAGTCATTCCCCTCTCCCTTGACTTTGTTAACGGGATTACTCTGCCCACATCATGCATCGCTGTGTGGCTGCTGACAGAGCTCGAAAGAGAGCCCCAAGACTCAACGGTACGAGTGAGTTCCGTAGCGAAATCGTTGAGCACTCTCCTATTATCTCGCAAGTCTTCGGGTTGATATGTAAACTTCTCGAGTTTTTCAAGGTGTCCTTGTAGCGCGGATTTGATTTCCTTGTAAGCGGATACCCGTGGCGACGTCAGCATAAGAATTGTTTGGTAGACGCGTACCTTCCCTATTCACGAGATGGCCCTTCTAACGTAATTGCATTTACTTCAGAATGCCGTGGATGCAGAAGACTCCTGTCTGCTCGAAAACTTCCGTGTTGGGAACCCTATCCTGTCACTTCAGCTTGAGTATCCGTCAGAGACACCTGGGATGGAAACGATTGAGCTTCCGAGCTTGTCTCGCGTAGATTGTCCGAGTCTCCACTACATACAGAAGCATCGTCAAAATGACGGTCTTATGCATTTTCAGCTTCGTGTTGAGATGAAGGTCATGGCGATTCCGCACGGAGTTCTGCAGTCGGTCGATGACTTGGCTGGCTTTGGAGATCCGGTGAGCCACCTCGTCGTCGATTCTGAAGCAACGCGACACTGTACTGCCTAAGTAGGTGAATTTGTCTGCGGTCTCCGTGTCGGTGCCGTTGACGTGGATGCGGGAAATGTTGTATCCAACGTTTGGTGCGGTTGATGAGTGCTTGGACATCCCAGATAACTGCCGAATTCTACCACTGGTCCCGATTGTGTTTACTGGAGAGCAACCCCAGTTAGCCTGGGCCGCCTACGGCAGTGTATTTAGCCTTCTACGCGGGACTTTTGAAGGGTAGGGGAAGAAAGGCAGGAGGAGAGGGATGGGGGAAGAAGGGAGGGAGATTAAAGATAGGGAGGGGCTGGGGAGTGAGACAGGCTTACCGGGTGTGCGAACACAACACCAAATGCCCCACCTGGTTCGGCTCGGCGATCGAGGCAGTCACCTGAGTGTGGCTGCTGGGCGGATCCTAGCTTCAGAGAGCCACAACTGAGAGTTGGCCGCAAGTAAACAGGCACTAGGCGTAAGTGAAGCTACCAACTACGACCTTAACGTGGACCCAAAACTGGAACTCTCTACAACCCCGATGAAAAGCATACTGTGCATGTCGCCTACATTGCCTTTAGGAGTACCTTCGATGGCGTTCCGCACCAGCGTTTCTTGTTCAAGTTGTGAGTTTTGGGTATAGGGCAAACTTCTTAAATGGACTAAAAGTTTCCTCGTTGGTCATTTTCAGGTTGTTTGTGTAGAGCAGAAGCAATCAAGGGGACTGACAGTGCCCAAGGGCGCTACAATAAATCCATTTTGTTTTATCCAAGGTCATAGAAAGTGGAGTTCCACGAGGTTCAGTGCTTATTCCGCCCTCTTTCTTTGATTTATTTACGATTGTGTTTTAAAATTGGGTCTAGAGTACGACGTGTTTGCGGGTGATACAAAAATCTGGCAAGCCCACCCCAACGCGGTCCACAAAGCGGACTTTCAAGAAAATATCTGTTGATAGAAAGAGTAGCCCTGGAGATGGGTCCTGTCATTTAACTCGAACAAATGCATCGTGTTTAAACTTAGAAATCGAAGTCAGATCCCTCATAAACGCAAATACCTTATAAAGTTTGCATTCTTAATGTTGTATACGTTCAGGCAAGCATTCATAGTTGTCGATGTAGGCGGCTTCTACAGATTCTTTTGAGCATTTGTGAACCAGGCCTGGACACCTGAACCCGGTGGGATTATAACTTACTGGAAACAGTGCAGAGGTGAGGAGTAAGATTAGTAATAGCCGAACGAGTTTTGCCGCAAACAAACTTGTACACAACCAATATATATATATATATATATATATTAAAATAAAAGGAGAAGGCTCGTCGGAAAATCGAGGTATACTCGTGAATTTTCAAGTCGGTTACACCAACCCGTCGTCAGACGAAAATGAAAAGTGTGAGGGAGATAATCCTACTGGGGAGTCAGGGGGACATCGAGGTTACATCGACAAGACAGGCGTTTATGTGTGGGGGTGAAGAACGTGTTTGGATAGGTGGCGGACGTTAGGGGTGGCGTTGGGGGTTTCACACATGGTTCACTCTGTGGGGGCGGTGCTGAATCCATGATATTCTACATGGCCGAACATGGATTAGCAGTTGGTGGCTTAGGGTGGGCGCAAGCCGGCGAACCGTGAACGTAAGCCTTCGTATTGAGCGTCCAAGTCGACATGGCGGTTGATGCTATTGCTATTAGAGTGCCAAGCTTCTAGAAACTCTCGCGCTTGTTTGGTGTTGGCACTAGCGATCACTTCGGTCCCCTCCCAGTTGAAGCGGTGATCACACTCAAGGGAGTGCGCAAACACGAGAGACAAGGGGTCCCGTCGGCGGATGGCCAACTTATGTTCGTTAATGCGGGTCCCAAGTCGTCGGCCGGTATGCCCAACATAAACGCTAGAGCAGTTTGAACATGGAATGCGGTAAATGACATTTGTTTGCTGCTCCTTCGGTATGGGGTCTTTTACCCGGGATAATGTCGTGCGCAATGAAGACGCCGGTTTGTGGGCGATGGAGATGCCGAATCGATTTAATTGTCGAGCGATCGCTTCGGAAATTCTCGACATGTAGGGCAAGGAATAGAATTTCCGTGATACTCTGTCTCCGTTAGAGTCGACGTTTTGTGGTTGTTGTTGACGTCTGAGACAATTTTTGACAAAGCTCGCCGGGTATCCGTTGAGTCGGAAAAAGCGATGCAAGTAGGCCAGTTCATCTTTGAGTAAATCGGCGCTATTGCAGTAACGATAGGCCCTGTGGAAAAGGGTCCGAACACAGCTTCTTTTATGGGCTGCTGGGTGGTTACTCTGATAGGTCAGGATGATCTCAGCGTCAGAGCTTTTCCGATGAACGCTTGTTGCGATGCCGCCGTCACTGAGCTTTTGTATGCTCACGTCTAGGAACGGGAGGGTGCCTCTTTTTGCATCTTCACGAGTGAATTGTAGTGCTGGGAAGGCGCCGTTCAAGCTCTGGTGAAATCGCTCAACTTCGCAGGTCTTAACGATGACAACTGTGTCATCTACGTATCTGAGCTACGTTTTTGGTTGGAAACTTTGCACAACATCTTGTTCTAGTCGTTGTAAGACTAGTTCTGCAAGTAGCCCCGAAATTGGCGAACCCATTGGGGTGCCCTTAACCTGCTGGTAGTATTTGCCATCGAATTGGCAATAGTTATTGAGGCAGAGCTTAAGCAATTCTAGAACGTGATGTGTTGGAAGGTCGATCGGATTTTCTCGTAAGCGATGGGCCACGCTCTCAATGGCAAGGTCATGTGGTATTGAGGAAAACAATGCGACAACATCAAATGATAGAATACTTTCATCAGGACTTACTTTAAGACCTTCAATCCTTTGAAGGAATGCCTGAGAATTTGTGATGCTGTATTGTGATCCATCAGCGAGGTGCTTCAGATGCCTGTAAAGCCATTTGGCTAGGTTGTAAGTGGGCGACCCGATGAGTGGCACTATTATCCTCAATGGTGCATCTAGTTTGTGCACTTTTGGAAGGCCATAGGCATGCGCGATACGGGGATCAGTGAGAGTCATGAATTTGGAGTCATTTGGGTTAATCAGCTTCAGTCGAGCGAGTTCATTCACCTTCTTCTTTATAACCGCGGCTTGCTTCTTCGTCGGGTCCTCAGCGAGTGGTGCGCAAGCTTCCCTGTCATTAAAGATGGTGTTTGCTTTTCGAACATAATCAGCCTTGTCCATGATATATATATATATATATATATATATATATATATGGTGGAAAGGTAATACCGACAAAGACAAGGGAGACCGGAATGGCCATTTCTGGCTTATTAGCCGTCATCAGCCAGTCATACCCAACCCCAAGTGTGGATCACTTGAGATTCGAACCCGGGATCTTTGGTCATGGAGTTGAACGCTCTACCATTGAGCCACGGGCCCGTTGTCCTGTCGGTTGTGATCCCTTGTCTTTGTCGGTATTACCTTTCCAACATATATCACTAGTCGCTGTGCGACTGCCTGCGAGGGTTTAAGTATGAGCCCCAAGGCACAACGGAACGAGCATGTTCCGTAACCTGATCGGTGAGCGCCCACTATCATAATTAATATTCCCGATCACAACCGACAGGACAACGGGCCCGTGGCTCAATGGTAGAGCGTTCAACTCCATGACCAAAGATCCCGGGTTCGAATCTCAAGTGATCCACACTTGGGGTTGGGTATGACTGGCTGATGACGGCTAATAAGCCAGAAATGGCCATTCCGGTCTCCCTTGTCTTTGTCGGTATTACCTTTCCAACATATATCACTAGTCGCTGTGCGACTGCCTGCGAGGGTTTAAGTATGAGCCCCAAGGCACAACGGAACGAGCATGTTCCGTAACCTGATCGGTGAGCGCCCACTATCATAATATATATATATATATATATATATGTATCCCCTGAGTTATTCGCAGTTGAGCGGGTAGTTTATACAGACTACCCGCATCGTGCGTAACTTTGAATGTGCCACCCTGTGTGAGGACTTCTTCCAAATTGTCAGTACGACCAACCTCCAGGGGGTATCCATTCAAATTGCATGTGTTGCAAGAAAGATTGGGTGTGTGAAGACATTTTTTTCACAAACCATGTTTTGGAACCGCTCAGTAATCTTCCAGAGGCAATTGCAAGGTCCCAGTCTTTGCGGACATTCGCATATCTTTTTGATGAACAAGTGCTGCATCAACAAGCGGAGTACGTGAATACGTGACGTTAAAAATAAATGCACTCGTGGGAAACTGAGTCTGGCTCTAATTCACACCGTAAGTTCTCTATGTTTTTGTTAATTTTTACGATTCGTATTTGATACACATTGAGTTTGAATGGGAAAATCTATTCCCTCCGAGTACACTGAACTAGACTGAAAATCGTTTCTCCGTCGGCCGACGAATTTACCTGCTGGTTGGCGGACTGCTGAGTCAACAATATTCCCCTCGAGATGGGATGAGGCAGAGAGGATAACGACCATGGATTCCATCGCTGCGGAAGATAGATTAGGTGTGTTTGACTCTCAGGAATTGCGGAAGTTGTGCTGAATGCAGAAGGCGAGTAATCTTTCGTCTAAGTAAAGGATAGCTTTTCAGAATTTTTACGCTTCCGGACAAATTATTATAGATGACAGCTGTGCTGACAGGAAAGAACGGGTGGTAGTTAAGTGTACGAGCTAGATATATAAAAGAAATGGCCTTGCTACGCTTGTTGCACCGAAGGTGGCCAACCACTATGTACTGACCATATACTGATCTAGATCAAGAGTACTGCAATTTAAAAACGTAAACAGAAAAGAGAGCACATTTTCTAATTAACTGAACCCAAAAGGATCAAGGCTAGTGGGTCGCAGCCTATTTAGTAAGCCCAATTTCGGTGCTCCGAAGTCAAAACTCATTTAATAAAATGATGATGGACGGATTGTATTCTTCTCCAACTACCAGCGCACAAAGCAATGAGTAAAAACGAACAGTATACAGAGTCAGTTCTAGGGGGCACTTTTCAAAAACGGGTTCTAAGATCACAAAATTAAAAACTCTGGAGGAAAAATCCGGTTGTTCTAAGTGCTTTGGAGACATCCGGGGTGCAGCGTTCTGGGATCAGGCGTAGAAATCATTATGTCATGTTGTAAAGATTGAAGAATAGAATAGGTTTATTATAGCGTCACTTGAGCACTGTCAGTCTTCATTGAACACAGGAAAAAAAAACCTAAAACAAACTCATCCATTTCGACGGCACTTTGACTGCCTTTGTCTTAGGTGTCTCTGTAGCCAACAGAGCTCGAATTGAGAGTTTGTATTAAGTTAAAAAAACTGAGTTTCAAGGAAAAATAATCACAAAAGTTTTAAGAAAGAACAATATGTACAACATAAAAATTGAAGTGTGCAGTTTGGTAGTTTCTGGGTGGGCATGAATAATATGTCCTTCACGGAAATTGAAGAACTTTGATATCGTTCTAACCTTGAAAGTATTTTTCAGTTGGGTAAGTTTTGGTGTGTTCTAGTTGGTGGTTTGTAGAAGCGGGTTTTTTGACTGGAAGGCGGGGAATAGAAAAGACGGTAGCGTGCTGAATCACCTCTTTCCATTTGCAGGCGAGGACGTCGAGAAGAGTGCCTCAGTCAACATTCTGCCTCCGGAAGGACAACTCTGAATCTCTCTGAACCGCCTCATCAACCAAATTGACGTTTCCCCCTTTTTATCCTATTTTATACTTATTGCTACCTTTTTCGCTCTCCTCCCTCCTTTTTCCGATCGTGGAATATATCTATCCCTTAATCAACGACGTCTGCCACGTACCCTGTTTGTGTGAAGCCTTTTACTGGAATTATGAGCGTCGTCCCGGAAGATCCTAACTCTGTGACAGACGACGGACCGCTTTTAGGAGCAACTCCCGGTCCAGCGACAACGATAACCGCGCAGCCGTCCGGATCAACTAAGGGTGAGTGTTCCTCGGCTACAACAGGTTGTCAGTCTATCTGGCCAGCTGTAAAGGGGCGGTCGCACATTTCTTTCGTGTTTTTCTGGAGGCTTGCCATACTTTTCTGGAGTAAGAGCTGGAAAAGATGAATATACATCAGGAGTGAGAAACATTCAATGGTAAGTCACAATCAAAGCTGTCAAAATAATATTGAATCATGTATCATATTGATTCTTGTGAATATGACACTATAGAAGTAATGGTAGACTGTTTACTATGATCTAATATAGTTGTGTATATGCTTAATATGACTTTAATATAGACTTACGTACAACTAATATGTAGGGTTTTATCGAAAGGGAAGTTATTATTAGCTCCTTAAGGGATATTAAGTGTCAGGTTATGCTTTGATGGGACCTCGACGGGTCTTGAATAAAAAATTATCTATCTGTCTATCTATAGCCGATAGAAACGATAAAGGGAGGAAAGAAAGAATATCACTATTCGTTCTATGTTTATCAATGATGCTATCTTTCATAAATTCGATTGTTTTTAGTGCTATGTTCCGGTGTTATACAAGCGGCTGGTATCATCAGAGCCCTTTCAGACCAAATTCTATATGAAAGAATTGACTTGAAAAATGTCCTATTTTATTTAAAGATAAATGTGTATTGTTATTTGAAAGGAATTTCTTAGTTTTTATTATAAACTCGATTAGGGTTCGACTTTTCCGGATAGAACTTGGAAGAGCATTCCAGATAGTGGCATATCTTATGGTGTAGAAATTCGACCGTTGGGACTTTGTGAATTTGGGTTTCCTTATAATATTTTCGTTATTTCTGGTGTTTTTAGGGGCTTTTCGGTTTGTTAGTAAATTCATTTTGAGATTATCTTGGTCATGGGTGACCTTGAATAGGAAGTTTAGACCATTTTGGAGTCTTCTGATCCAGAGTGGTCGAAGACCGTATTTACGATATAGTTCTAATTATGAACCCTGGGTGCCATCACTTCTGGACAAAGATCGAGTGAAACGTCTCTGAATGCCTTCTAGTTTCTTTCGGCCGTCTGAGGGCATTATACCGAAGAAAATTGAGCAATAATCTAGGAGAGGTAAAACATACATTTTGAAAAGCTGTATTCTAAGTGCATTTAAGGTGAAGTTTTTACATATGAATCCACATAGGCGAGTGGCTTTCGGTGATATTTGTCGGGCGTGGGGAGATAAATCAAGGGTATTTGTATAGCTGAGACTTCAGTCTTTTACCAGTTCAGTTCAGTTCAGTTTATTGAGGGAAATAGGCGTAAGCCTTTGAGTACCCTATTTGCAACGTAAAAAATGTGTGGTGTACAGATAGATGTTCTGGGCTGAAATAGTTCGAACATGCCCATAATGGTGGGACAAAATGAGAAGGAGTTACAGGGGTGAGCTCGACTTCTCATCGCTCTTGGCCATTTCGGAACATAAATATGTCCAGATTCTTCTTAAAAATTTGTATAGATGGTGACATCACAACATCTGCGGGAAGTTCATTCCATGGTTTGACCACCCGAACCGCGAAGGAGAACTTCCGCACATCCAGCCGTGCCTGCTGAGTGCGCAGTTTTAACGAGTGACCTCGGAGGTTGGTCGTGGTAGCAAATTCAAAAAAGTCTTCGAAGGCCAGACTGCATTTCAACCCCTTTACAATGCGGAAGGCTTGCAAGAGATCTCCGCGAAGTTGCCTGTAACTCAAAGGAAAGAGGCTCAGATTTACTAGGCGGGTTGCATAAGGAAAGGAGTTTTGACCCCTAACCATCTTCGTGGCTCTCCTCTGGACTTTTTCGGGACCTCCGTTATTTCATTATCCACGAAAATTATGGGGGGAATTTTTTGTGGGCCAAAGATCAGAAGATGACATTTTTCGGATGAAAGGGGCATCTGCCATTGACTACTCTATTCACTGAGTTTTCTGTGGTCAGTTCCAGTTGTTCTGTGAATATTGGCAACTGTGTTCCCGTTATATGCATATGCAAGTTTAAGGTGTCCGCATATAAAAACGTCTTAAGTGATACTGATATGGACGATAAGTCGTGAATATATATGAGAAATAGAAGGGGGCCTAGGATAGTGCCTTGAAGTACTCCATTGGTAATAGGGATGGTTCTGAGAATACGTTTTGAATTTGCACCACTTGATGTCGGTTTTGAAGACAGGATTTAAGAAAATCGAGAAGGGGAGGCCTAATTCCATGACTTTTGAGCTTTACCAGTAGTCTTTTATGGGGGACTTTGTCAAAGGCCTTTTTTTAGATCGAAGTATATTGAAGCAACTGTGCTTCCATCATCTCTTTTGCCGGAAACGAATTCCAAAAAAGTCAGGTGGCAGGACTAACACGACTTTTTGGGTAAAAATGCATGTTGAGAGGAGGGAACGAGGTTGGCGTTTATGAGGTGGGCTAGTACTTGGTTGCAAACTATTTTTTTCGATAAAGATGCATGAATGTATTTTGGGGGTTATGGACGGAACCCTAGATGGCCCTGTTCATGTACAGTCGATAGCACAATTGTAATTATGTACACTCAGCAGAAAACATAGCCCTTTGTTAAGTTTACGGGGACATTTGACACTAAAGTGCAATCATACATTACATATGAAATGGAACCAAGAAGTAAATTACATACCTTGACGTAAATATTTCCACAGCTAAAATTGCTTTTAGCCAAAAATCACACAATCAAACTGCCTTTTGAATACAACCACGCTGTCGAATGAAATCTAAACACCGGATTCGGGTTATGACCACTTTCACTATTATATATGTAACTATACAGGGTCTTGGATGCTCCAAAGAGTTCTGCAATATGCCTAGCTCACAGTTCCCCGAAGTATACTTGGTCGGTCAGCAAAGTAGTATCGTAGTCTATCTCCCGCCATTTAATGACTCCTGCAGTCCCCAATATCCCCTTCTTACCTGGACACTAAGCGTACTGCGACCGATCGTGCTGGGTCCCTCCTGTCTCGCAACCTTGGTGATTGTGTCTGCCGTCAGCCCACAAATGTTAGAATAGCATTTGCAGCAAGGAGTTTCATCCGGTTAGGGAACTTTTGCCTTGAGGAAAGACGTTTTGCATCGCTATACACTCTTACCTGTGGGAAGCTCCTATCCGACCCGTTTATTTATCTTCCAACGAGCGACAGTTTCCTTTCTCCCTGAAAAATAATTAACCCCATTCATCCTGTCTTTTGCAAAAAGGGCGGCAAAGTTCTTCATTATCCGCTAACAGTTTTTCATATCAGACTGGCTATTTTATAAGGACGAACTGATCACTGTGCATTGTCTGCATACTTGTCCTAAAATTCTATCGGAAATTTGTTTTTACTTACTTTGGCAGGACCTTTATTGGCATTAAATGACACAATTTATTTATTTATTTACACGTTTGCACACATCCTACTGTCCTTTGCATTCCTGTAGGTGTTCGCAAATCGTCGTTGGCCGAAAACGCCTCTACGTATTATTTAATCTCTCAAAGGCGATTTGAGGTTCCCGGTTTACCCACGACGGACGAATACTTGTTTTCTTTCGTCTCGG